ATTGAAGTTCTGCTTTAAATCCCTTCTGTGTAGTTTGGTTCCTAAAGTTGGCTATACAAGCATAGATTTCTTTTGTTCAACCTGTGGGCTGTATGAAAGAAATCTAACAAATTCCTTCATCCGTGCCAAACTGCGTGGATGAATGAATCTCCCCTACTGACTATTATATTCTCACTATTGGTGCCCGCGCCTGTCAGAATACCCAAACAGTGACTGCAGCTGATTGGCTACAGTCACTGTTCTGCCACCTGCTTTGTGATGGAGTACAGGGGAGGGGGATATACATTACTGTATACATGTCATATCACTATAATGGAGTGCAGGGGAGTTGGGATATACATTACTGTCTACATGTCATATCACTATAATGGAGTACAGGGGAGGGGGATATACATTACTGTATACATGTCATACCACTATAATGGAGTACAGGGGAGGGGGATATACATTACTGTATACATGTCATATCACTATAATGGAGTACAGGGGAGGGGGATATACATTACTGTATACATGTCATATCACTATAATGGAGTACAGGGGAGGGGGGATATACATTACTGTCTACATGTCATACCACTATAATGGAGTACAGGGGAGGGGGATATACATTACTGTATACATGTCATATCACTATAATGGAGTACAGGGGAGCTGGGATATACATTACTGTCTACATGTCATATCACTATAATGGAGTACAGGGGAGGGGGGATATACATTACTGTCTACATGTCATATCACTATAATGGAGTACAGGGGAGGGGGATATACATTACTGAGTAATGCATATCCCAGCTCCCCTGTACTCCATTATAGTGATATGACATGTTGTATACAGTACTTACACCTAGTCCCTCCGAGTCCCGCGTGGTGGTGGAAAGGGTTTCTCCTCTCAGCGGAGGAGAGCGGACCTCTCCTTCACCTGTCCCCTCAGCGGCGGTGCCACAGAAGCCGGAAACCGGAAGTTGTAATCTGGAACTCGGCTTCACAATGAGGCTTGGAGCGCAGGTGCAGTCGCTCCATGCTTCATCTGTGCTGGCTGCTCACTGCTTGCCACAGAGTAATTTCTCTTCGCATTTGGCGAGCGGGCAGGCGGCTTTTATAAGCCCTGGTTTATTATATATTTTCATGTGACAACACTGAGGAAATGACACTTTGCTACAATGTGACGTAGTCAGTGTACAGCTTGTATAACATGTAAATTTGCTGTCCTCTCAAAATAACTCAACACAGCCATTAATGTCTAAACTGCTGGCAACAAAAGTGAGTCCACCCTTAAGTGAAAATGTCCAAATTCGGCCCAAAGTGTCAATATTTTTTGTGGCCACCATTATTTTCGAGCACTGCCTTAACCCTCTTGGGCATGGAGTTCACCAGAGCTTCACAGGTTGCCACTGAAGTCCTCTTCCACTCCTCCATGATGACATCACGGAGCTGGTGGATGTTAGAGACCTTACGCTCCTCCACCTTCCATTTGAGGATGCCCCACAGATGCTCAATAGGGTTTAGATCTGGAGATATGCTTGGCCAGTCCATCACCTTTACCCTCAGCTTTTTTAGCAAGGCAGTGGTCGTCTTGGAGGTGTGTTTGGGGTCGTTATCATGTTGGAATATTGCCCTGCAGCCCAGTCTCTGAAGGGAGGGGATCATGCTCTGCTTCAGTATGTCACAGTACATGTTGGCATTGATGGATCCCTCAATGAACTGTAGCTCCCCAGTGCCGGCAGCACTCATGCAGCCCCAGACCATGACACTCCCCCACCAACATGCTTGACTGCAGGCAAGACACACTTGTCTTTGTACTCCTCACCTGGTTGCTGCCACACACGCCTGACACCATCTGAACCAAATAAATTTATCTTGGTCTCATCAGACCACAGGACATGGTTCCAGTAATCCATGTCCTTAGTCTGCTTGTCTTCAGCAAACTGATTGCAGGCTTTCTTGTGCATCACCTTTAGAAGAGGCTTCCTTAGAAGGACGACAGCCATGCAGACCAATTTGATGCAGTGTGAGGCGTATGGTCTGAGCACTGACAGGCTGACCCCCCCCCCCCACCCCTTCAACCTCTGCAGCAATGCTGGCAGCACTCATACGTCTACTTCCCAAAGACAACCTCTGGATATAACGCTGAGCACGTGCACTCAACTTCTTTGGTCAACCATGGCGAGGCCTGTTCTGAGTGAAACCTGTCCTGTTAAGCCGCTGTATGGTCTTGGCCACCGTGCTGCAGCTCAGTTTCAGGGTCCTGGCAATCTTCTTATAGCCTAGGCCATCTTTATGTAGAGCAACAATTCTTTTTTTCAGATCCTCAGAGAGTTCTTTTCCATGTTGAACTTCCAGTGAAAAGTATGAAAGAGTAAGAGCGATAACACCAAATTTAACACACCTGCTCCCCATTCACACCTGAGACCTTTTAACACTAACAAGTCATAGATGGGAAAATGGCTAATTGGGCCCAATTTGAACATTTTCACTTAGGGGTGTACTCACTTTTGTTGCCAGTGGTTTAGACATTAATGGCTGTGTGTTGAATTGAGGGGTGTACTCACTTCTGTGAGATACTGTATTTGCTGTCCAGCAACCAATGCGCAAAATTACTAAAGAATATGTGAACAGAATGTTCACAAAAAAAGTGGTTACACATAAGGACAATGTGGTAAACCAACACATGAATAGTGTATAAATGCTTTACATATAGTTACATAGTCTGGCTGAAAAAAAGACAAAAGTCCATCCAGTTCAACCAGTGAAAAAAAAAAAAAAAAAAGTTATAATCCTACACCCACAGTTGATCCAGAGGAAGGCAAAAAAACCCAGCAAAGCATGATCCAATTTGCTCCTGCAGGAAAAAAAATTCCTTCCTGATCCCCCGAGAGGCAATCGGATATTCCCTGGATCAACTTTACCTATAAATCCAGGCCTTTTTTAAAGCAATCCACTGAGCTAGCTTTATTAATACCAGTACACCAGCATACCAAAACACAGCATATACACACAGCATACCAAAACACAGCAGCATGTTTCCCAAGTAAAACACAACACAGCACACAGTTAACCATTTGATTGCCCCAGATGTTAACCCCTTCCTGCCAGTGTCATTAGTACAGTGTCAGTACTTTTTATTAGCACTGATCACTGTATTAGTGTCACTTGGGATGTCAGTGGCAGTTAGTCAGTTCCCACCCAGTATCAGAATGCCCGCCACAGCCCCGCAGTCCTGCTATAAGTCGCTGATCGTCGCCATTACTAGTATGAAAAAAAAAAATTCCAGTATACTGTATATACCGCCATTTGTAGACGCTATATCTTTCATGTAAACCAGTTAATTTACATGTATTGATTGATTAAAATATTTTTTATGTATTGCATGATAGATCTGATGATTGCACTGAGTATATTAAGGCTCAAAAATTAGAGGGGAATGTTTTGGAAAAAAGCTAACAAAATCAAATGCCCATAAGTGTTTTTTATGCTGCTTTTTCTGCTAGGTTCTGGAGTTTTTTCAGCCACCTAGCGTTCATGGACTGTAAAACTGTGGAGACACATCAGAAGCCCAACACAGCACAAAGGCAGTTGAAGACTTTCCATTGCACCTGAGCAATCAATAACTACCTTTTTAAAGGCCGGTTCACATCATGCCACACCACTGTATGTTCACACGCGATCCTGTGCGGCGCAATTTCAAGCCCAATTTTTTTGCATGTACTACTTTTTAAAGCAATAGTAAACTGCACAAAATGCAACAAAAAAGTCTTCTCCTTGCAAGTTAAGAGCATTACTAGCACAATATGAAAAACTTGCCTGAAAATGAAGCCCTCCAGCAGAGAGCTGTCTCCGCTCCCCGGGGCTTCCATCTTCACTCAGTCTTCCTTCCAGGTTCATGGGCTATGGCCATTTGACTGGCCAAGCCATGATGATGTTACTCCCACACATGCGTGAAGGAGCCTTGGCTGCGACATGGCTCTCTCAATAGATGGAACACCATAAAGTAAATATCTCCTAAATGGCGCACGTTTTGGAGATATTAGCTGTACCTACAGGTAAGCTTTATTATAGGCTTATCTGTAGGTACAAAAGAATAAAAAGACTTTACTACCACATTAAAATGCACTCCAAATAGATCGCATGGTACCACGCGATCTGGTGTAGGCAGGTGCAGGCAAACGGACTGTGTTTGCGACCTGCATTTGGGGTGTCATTAACTTTTTATTGACACCGGCTGCTGATCACATTTTGCATGCAGTTTGAATAGCACAGGAATGCACAGCGCATTCCTGTACGATTTAGCTGCAGGCATGGTGTGAACCGGTGCTATAAGGTTCACATTGCTACCACACTTGCCGGAAGTGAGCAGACAAATTCAACACTGTGTCAGGATTTTGGGGGTGCTGGTGACTAACATTCAACATTCTGGCCAGCACAGTGACTTACATTCAGGACAGGAGGTTGCATGACCAATGTAGAATTCCTAATTAAAAGATAGTCAGCACTCCTTAACCACTAGCCTACAGAGCACTTTACCCCCTTCCTGCCCAGGCCAATTTCCAGCTTTCAGTGATGTCACAATTTGAATGACAATTGCGCGGTCATGCAACACTGTACCCATATGAAATTTTTATCATTTTTTTTAGACAGATAGCGCTTTCTTTTGGTGGTATTTAATCATCTCTGGGATTTTCATTTTTTCTTAAACAAACCAAAAACCACTGAATTTTGAAAAAAAAACGTTTTTTCTTAGTTTTTGTTATAAAATTTTGTAAATAAGTGATTTTTCTCCTTCACTGATGTGCGCTAATGAGGCTGCAGTGATGGGCACTGATAGGCTGCACTGATGGACACTGATAGGTGGCACTGATGGGCACTGATGAGGAGGCACTGGTAGGTTGCACTGATGGGCACTGAAAGGCAGCACTGATACATGAAACTGATATATGGCACTGATAGACAGCAATGATAGGCGGCACTTATAGGCGACACTGACTGGCACTGATAGGCATTGATAAGTGGCACTGACTGGCACTGATGGGTGACATTGAAAGGCAGCTCAGATGGGCACTGATATGTGGCATTGATGTGCACTGGTAGGCACTGATATGTGGCATTGATGTGGCACTGGCAGGTGGCATGGATGAGCACTGACAGCTGGCACTGATGGACACTGACAGGTGGCACTTCTGGGGCCACACTTATCATCAGGGCACACTGATCATCAGTGCTCTGATGATCAGTGTACATGTTCCCTCCGCGGAAAGCCGATTACCGGCTCTCCTCTCGAGCTGTCAGCGTGACAGCTCGAGAGGAGAGAAATGCCGATAACCGGCATTTCCGTGTTTACATGTGATCAGCTGTGATTGGACACAGCTGATCACATGACCAAGCCGACATCTTGGGCTCTTTCCGTGATCGGGACACAGCGCGCACCGGCGATCGCTGCGCTGCGCTCTCCCTGAGCCGCGCATGCGCGGTGAGAATGGAAGGACGTCATATGACATCCTATCAGAACGAGAGAATCACCTTGCACCCTTCATTGTACTATATGGCGGGCGGAAGGTGGTTAAACAGGTGTTCGTAGCATATATTTGCAAATCTATATGGAAGCCACACTGGTTTTTAGTGCTGTCTGTATCACACCCCCTACTGTCTTTGGGACTGGAAGTGAGTGAATATCGACAATTATGAGCTGTCACTGAAACAGGTATAGTCCAAGTCTTTTTGCTTCTTGTTGCGTCTATAGGACAGAAAGAAAAGGGAAATCTCCAACATTGGACTTATATGACAAAAATGTGACAGGAGATTTATCCATTCTCTAATCTAAATAAAACAAAAAAGTTTTGGTTTTACGTGCTCTTTAAAAGGGTTAGTTCACCTTTTCAGATAAAATGAAAAGGTGAACACCCTACACCGGGGGGCCAGCAACCAGTAGATTGCAACCAGGTGACTGGTAGATCGCTGTCTGGGCTTGCTGACCCACTATCCCAGAGCATCAAACAGTGTGCAATGCAGAGGGGCTGTAAAGTTGGAGCTGTAGTAGGGAGTAAGAGCTGCATAAGTCGTTGTCTCCTCTCTAGTCCCATGCAGAGTGATACCAACTGCACTGCACCTCTTATCCCGGCTAGTGGTCTCCAGAGAGCATCAGGCTGGTAACTTATGCGCAGCATTAGTGAAAGGCCTGCATGACTGGGTTTGCTAATGCAGTCCTGTGGAAGAGAGAGGGTTAACAGGGTCGTATTTTAAAAATAGACAGCCTTACTTTATTGGAGGATCATGGGGTGCGGTGAGGAGGGGTCAAACCAGGCTGGAGAGGGGTTTTGTGGGAGGTGGTCTTTCTTGTATCACCATTCCCAGCACGGGCAGCATTGGACGAGCTTTTCCCACCCATTCTCCCTCCCATTTTTCTTGTTTCCGTTGGGCAGTTACTGCTGCTCTGGGTTTGCAGTTGTGTTGGTTTCGGGGTCGGCGTTGGGCAGCTGTTCGGGAAACTGACATTGGGATCATTGCTTTGGGGTTTTTTTTGGGGGTATTGTCATAGCAGGGGCAGAGGTATCAAGGTTTCTGAAGGTGGGGATGGTAAACAGTTTAAAAAAAAATAGGGTGGGGCCTGTCTTAGGTATGGGTGTACCTTCCCTACTAAGTGCAGCAGGAATGGGTTCTTGGATTGGTGGGGCTGTATCGGATGATGACTTAGGAAGGAGTTGTCTCCAAGCCAGTGTATGTGCAGCTGGGGGCCTTAATTTGTAAGATGGTGGCAGATATAGCCGGGTATTGCCTTTCCATGCGTTCAAAAAACCTATCATTTGCGATCATATTTGTTATGGTTTTACATACGATGAAACTTGATGTATGTATTTTGTATTGATGTTATTTAAAAAAAACTGGCTGCTATGGCCATTTAAATTCCAAAGTTAAGTGTTTTGTGTTTTTAATATTATGTTAACAGTAGGTGTGGGGGGTGGTTTTTAGAAGTGGCTTGTTGGTGTCATAGCAGCTGAGCTATAGGCAGTACCCCAGTCATGGTGCCAGCAGCAGGAAAGAAGAGATCTTCAGGTCAGTGTGAAACGATACATTGGGGATAATAGTATAGGGTTGCTTTCACACTGATGTGCTGCAGTTTACCAAGACTGCGAGTGCAGTGAAGTGTACCTTCAGCTTTCCTGCGGCTTTGCTGCGCTTAGCCATAGACTTCTATTGTATCCGGCACTTTCTGAAAACACACCAAAACTCCTGAATACAGGAAAGTGCACCATACCTGCAGGATATAATAGAAGTCTATGGCAAGGCGCAGCTAACCCAGGAAAGTTGTAGATGCACTGCGCTGCACCCGTGTGAAAGCAGACTTATAGGGGGCTCAGAACAGGAAGGGTTCATTTACATTTGAAGTTTGGGGATAGTAAAACCCCATAGTTAAGACATGTTTTTACTATCCCTGCCCCAACCACACCCCCTTTAGCTGCAGTGGCCAGGGGTGTTCACATGTCGAGTTTTATGCCCTGTCATGGTTGGTGGGTGTAGCGCCTGCCAAGTATGACCCATTCAAGTTAATGAGACTGCTCTGCAAGCGCCCTGCAACCTTGTGCAGTACAGCAAACAAGGGGTAAAAGCAGGCTGCATTGTTTTGCTTTCTCATCACCTGCTTTAACCCCTTGGACCCCACAGAAGCATGCAGTTGTGGGGCGCTTACATAGTGGTCCCATTTACTTGAATGGGTAGCGATTAGCAGACAGTAGTAGCCACCAAAAGCAACAGGGGGTTTAATTCCTGCTGTGGCATGTGTACACCTTTGGCTGTTGCCTCAAAAGCTAAAGTGGGCAGTAAAACCGTGACTCAACTGCAGGGTTTTACTTCCCCCCAACTGTACATGTGAATGAGCCCTAAGCACTGTCAAATGCACCTAAGGGCTCATTCACAAGTGCAGCTGGCACTGCTGCCCCTCTTAAAAGCAATCCAAGCATGTTTGACGGGTGGTGAGGAGGGGATATGTTGCATCCTCCCCACCTGATTTAAACCCATGACTGCCGTGCGATTAACATGATTGCGATATGGTAGTTTGGCGATTAGAGGTGTTGTGAGTAGGCGACACTGTGCCTGTTGATCTTTTACTTCTCCCATGTTGTTCAGATAGATCTCCACCTCTTTAAGGTTGCCTACCCCTTGCCCTACATCCTACCCCACCACCCCAGACTTTGCTGTACTTACCTCCGTGAGAGATGAGCTGTCAGTTCCCAACACACAGCCAGTGCAGCAGTCCAGGGATTTGAAACCCGACTTTCTCTCCCTTCTTTCTGCAGGCCTTCTGAGAAAGATCAATGTGATTTTGATTGATCAGCACAGGGACAGAGTATTGCCCTGATCTGTCCCAGATGCCCAGCAGAAAGTAGGGGGAGAAGAGTAGAGATATCAAACCCATTGGACCACTGCATTGACTGCTTGGGCACTGAAAGCTCATCACCCACCACAGTGCCCAAGCAATCAATGCAGCGGTCCAAAAGGCACAACGGGTACTGGTGTGGGGGGGGGAGGGTGTATGGTGTTAGTTCACCTTTTCATTTTTTTCTGAAAAGGTGAATTTACTGTACCCTTTAAGGGTTTCTTACTTCAAATATTTGTTACAAGATGAACAAAAATCCCCAGCAGGGAATACACTTGTACAAGGTTTACTCTAGATGCCATTTGTTCTGGGTTTTGGACTCAAGTACCAAGGTCCTGCTTTATCTATCTATCCAATAAAAAAATATCAAAATCCTTTCCATTTAACGCACACGCATAATGTAACAGAAACATGATCTGCAAATAATTTTCCTTAGCACCCCTAGTACATCATGTCATAAAGTATAACCTTTGAACATATCATTTATATGTCTTCTTCAGTGATAAGATTCCATAAATGTTATCATGTAGTTGTGACAAAAGTGCTGTAATTGCCAGCTGAACGCGTATTTTGTTATAGTTTAACAAAAGTTATGAACTTTTTGACCTGATTAGATCTATGCACAACCTGGAAAAGCAGAATAGAAATTCTTGCATTAGTGTATAAATGTATCTAATGCCTCATGCCAAAACAGTTGACGTTTAGTAGGCATAATTGAACGTGTGACATTGTTGCATGTGTTCACGCATATTTTTTGTCTTCAGTATAAGCCTGGGTTCACACTGATGCGGTGCGGAATTCACGTTTTCTGTGCGAATTCCGAACCGCATCACAATCGTACCCCGTTCATGCCAACAGCTGCAGGTGTGTATGTTAACCCCTTCACGCCTAAGGGTAAAACAAATCTAAATGCCTAAGCACAATTCTGCAACGTTGACATGTGATAGTAAAACCATACATATCACCACAACTACTTTTTACAGCCAGGTGGTCTATACTGCGTTTTTTCAGGACAAATTGGGCTTTCATTTGGTGGTAAATGGTAATGGATATCTCCTGATTTTTTTTTATTATTAAAAGGAAAACTGGGCCAAAATAGTAAAAAAAAAAACATTTTTTTTTTTTTAAATGTGTGTTTCTTGCTACAACCATAACCTACCACCAAAGAACAACCCAAAATAAATTCTCCAGTTCTTGATGATCGCAGTGATACCATATATGTGTATGTTATTTGTTGTTGGTACCCATAGTACAGCCCAGAAACAATAGTACGCATTTTGTTTTTGTCTTTTTTTTTTTTTTTTTTTTTTTTTACATAAAACACACTGTCACTGACATTGACATTAACACTAACTGACACCAATTTTTTTTAAATCTTGACCTTGACCTTTGACCCAAACACTAAAACCTTGATCTCTCAATTTTCTTTATTTTTTATTTTATTTATTTAATATTTATCTTTTTCTTTTTTTTTTTTTACAAACTTTTTTTATCTCTCTCTATGTCAGGAATTCGAGAGATACAATGTATCTCTCTTCTCCATTCATAGAGAGAGAGAAAACAAGGGGGCCGGGCTGCACAGTGACTGATCACTGTGATAGCCAATCAGAGGCTATCACAGCGATCACGTGACCTGGAATCAGGAGTCCCGGGTCCCGATCGTTAGAAAGGGACCCGGGGCTCTCAGTGACACCGCGGTCTCAGTGCTGGGAGCGCGTCGAGCGGCGCGCTCCCAGCACAAAGACAGGTACGCAAATATGTGGCCCCACAGAAAAAAGCCCAGGTCTGTGAGGCCGCATATTTGTGTGACGTTGGCGGGAAGGGGTTAACAACACCCTGAAATCGGTCCGCAAAATGCGGTGCGATGTGCACAAATCGGATCGCATAGGTGTGAATACCCATGCAATCCAATTCTAGTGCGGACCAAAAAAAGGGTCCTGCACCTTTTTGGTGCGGATGCAGTGCGATTTGAGCCATACATAATGTATGG